TCAGTATGTTTTACAAAGGCTGAAGGTTGTAGGCCAATTGATTCTTATCATTTCATTCAGCATTTAATGATCACAGTGTCTACATCAGCACTGCCCAGAGAATTTCTTGTGGAGAATGGAAATGTTCTGTATCTGCTTAGTCAATATCTTAGCCATTAGCCACATTGACTAGTGACCACTTGAAATGTGGTTCATGAGGAAAAGGATTCTTTTTGTTACTAAACTTTAATTAAATTAAATTTAAACAGCCACATGTTCAGATATAAAATAGATATCAATGTGTTGGGATAGAAAATGAATGTGATTTGGTTTTTCTCTTGAAAACCTACAAAGTAATGGGAGAAATAAAGTGCATACATTATTTTACATCAAAATCTCAACTGAATTTTTATGGAACTTAATAAATATAAATTTCATATAGAAGATAAAAGCCCCCAAATCACCAAGATAATTCTGAAGAGGAACAAGGTTAGGGAGAGGAGGTGGGGTTTGCCCTACCAGATATTAAAACTTTGCACAGAGCCATCATAATTAACAAGGAAATAATGGTATGGGGCTAGCACAATAAAACAGAATGAAGAACCCAGAAACACATTCATGAAGGATTTTTTTTCCTTTTTTTTAGCAAAAGGCAAAAAGCAGAAGCTATCAAGAAAGTTGATAAATTTTACTACAGCTGAACTTAAACGTTTTATAGTTTGCAAGACATTATAAACAAAGTTAACAGACTGAGAGGACAGAATCTCTACAGCTAATAAAGGAGTAGAATACACAAATATACAAATAACTTCCTAAAAATTAATTAAGAAACACAAGTAACAAAGAGAAAGAGCACAGGTAGAGGACATGAAGAGGCCTCTCCTGGAAGATGAAACCCGAGCTATGAATAAGCATGAAGAATGTGTTCTGTTTGACCACATGCAAATCAGAACAATAAGACTGCATTTTATACCAGAGTATCCTCTAGTGAGCTTGAGTTTAACAAAGCCAAGCCTTAGCATGGACATGGATGACCTCATACATCGTTTGCAGGATGCAAGGTAGGACCGCCCCTCTGAGAGCTATCTGGCAATGTCTGGCAAACTCCAAATCCGTACACTCTACAGCCCTGCTAATCTATTTCTAGGTACTTACCTTCCATCATTTCTTGTACAAAGCGCCCAAGAGAATGTGCACAGCATGTTTATTGTAGTGTTACTTGTAATTATGGAAAATTAAAAATGAGCTAAACGTCTCTTGGTAGGAAAATGGATAAATCGTAGTATGGTCATTCGAAAGAATGATCCGTAGCATCTGGAGTGAACAAGCTAGATCCATGTTTATCAAGACTAATGGGTCTCAAATATAATGTGGAGCAAAAAAGAGAGGTGACGGAAAAATATGTAGAGTGTGGTACCACTTATATAAATATCAAAGCACCCTGATACTAGATATCGTCTGTATGAAATGCTTGTGTATTAAAGGGACGAAACTGGACGAGATGAATAGTAACAATTGCACAATAGCTACACCTGGGCAAGAAAGTTCTGTTTCTTTGGGGGAGGAGCTCTGGCCTTCCTCTGTCTGCTCCAGCCCCAGGGCCAAGGGGTTGTACCCACCGAGGCCTATCCTTACTCTTTCTCTCCAGTTCCCCCCTGCTCTGGGAGCCAAGAACCTACGATTTCCTGCCCAAGGGTCCTAAGTCCTCTTCCTAGGCCTGGGTGAGCCTTTTCCTCTGGGCCATCTTCTAAAGAAATGACCTGGTGGCTGTCTTGGGGAGGGAGGGAGGTGACAGGGAACAGGATCTGAAGGCACATGAAGGAGACTTCAACTGTGTCTATGAATGTTAGTTTTTTATAACAATATACCTAAAACAAACATAACAATATAATATTCACTAATTCTCAGGGTGGGTGTTTTTTTTTCATTATTCTTTTTTTAAAACCTTTTTTTTTTTAAGTTTATTTATTTTGAGAGACAGAGAGCAGGGTTAGGGGCAGAGAGAGTGAGAAAGAAAATCCTAAGTAGGTTCTGCACTGTCAGCACAGAGCCTGACGTGGGGCTTGATCCCACAAACCACAAGATCATGACCTGAGCCAAAATCAAGAGTCAGATATTTCATTGACTGTGCCACCCAGGCACCCCAGTCATTGCTTTTTTTAATAGCTGACTCACATATAGCACTTACGTTTCAATTTCTGTTCTATGTGATTTGCATTAAAAATGAGAAGGTTCATTATTACTCAGTTTTATGGAAGACAACTAAGTAACTTGCCCAAGGCCACTCACTGCAAAACATAGAAGGGATTTGAATCCACTAGGTCTGGCCCCAAAGTCCTCGATCTTAGCAATAGTCTAGTTCTACTTGACTATATAAATCATTTAAAAAAATTAAAATTAAAATACCAAGTATTATACAAAGAAAATGGTAGTGAAATTCCACGAGAAGCTTCTTGGATGTGTTAGGGGCACCGACCTGGAAAGGAAGGCAGTCGTGGTGGTGGGGACAGCTTCACAAACCTGGTGCCACCTTTTAGCCCAGGCCTTGCTGGGCGGTGGGCAGGGAAGGGACAGGAGAGTGAACTCCCAGGAAGAGGGAAATCCATGTATACCAGGATGGGTTTCGGAAAGTTCAGGAAGGATCTGAGGATTAGCAGGTAGCTGTGTTTGGCTGCCACGTGAGGGGACCCCTCGGTGAGGAACACGGGTGAGGATCCTGAAAGGGAGGGTGAGACAGGAGAATTTAATTTGGGGGCAAGGCGGGCCTCGAGCTGCACTGTGGGCAGCTGGTGGGCAGCACGGGCTGGACCGCAGGACAGGACGGGGCTGCAGGCGAGGAACCCCAGGGGCACAACAAAGATGGTGGTGGAGGAGAGGAGAGGAGATGGTGCCTGTGTGTGCATAGGGGTCGGTGTCAAGAAGCGCCCAGGTACCTGCACCTGCTGTGAAGCAGGCACAGTTGTAGGCGGTGGCGACAGAGAATGAACAAAACTGAAATTTCTGCCCTCGGGGAACCTGCAGTCTAGCGGAAGAACAGAAGTAAGATAAATGAATAGGTGAGATTTTCGGCAAACAAAGGAATACGGGTACGCGCATGTTAGATGGATAGAGCAGGGAAGGGAGCAGGGAGGATGGATTGCCCGTGCACGTGTATACGTGTGCATTGGGGGGGGGGGTGGGGAAGGCTGAATGGCGGGGGCGGAGTGAGCTGAGGTGACATTTGAAGAAAAGCCTGCAAAAGTGAGGGATGTTGAGATGACCCAGAGAGTCAGAGTCTGGGGCTGGGCCTTGGTTACACCAAAAGGGAGGTTAGAAGGAAGATGTGGGTGGGAGGAAGACAGATTGAGTCTGGGGTCTAGGGAGCCGGTTAAAAATATGGGCAAGCGGGGCGCCTGGGTGGCTCAGTTGGTTAAGCATCCAGCTTCGGCTCAGGTCATGGTTTCCTGGTTTGGGAGCTCCAGCCCCGCCTCCTGCCCTGTGCTGACAGCTCAGAGCCTGGAGCTTTGGATTCTGTGTCTCCCCCTCTCTCTTCCCCTCCCCTGCTCACACTCTGTCTCTTTCTCTCTCAAAAATAAATAAACAATTTAAAAATATATATGGGCTAGAGCTTGGACAGGAGATATGTGGGCACAGAAATCATTGATAACTCGGTGGTAGATATGCTTTATTTAGTAGTTGAGATCAAGGAATGTGAGAACAATAAAACCCGCCCATCAGCGAGCGCCTGCTGCGCGCCCTGCACACCCCTAGGTGCTCTCTCTTATACATTATCTGTCACCCTAAGGACATCCCTGCACCCTCCATCGCATTAACTCAATACAAATCACAGTAGTAGCAGCCAACACGTGAAAGGGGATGCTCTGTGCAGCAGGCCCTTTCCTGACACTTCATATATTGTTCAGTCTTTACGAGACCCCGGGTCGGTATTGGCCTCGCTTGACGGGTGAGAGTACTGGGCTGGCCAGGGAGTTGCCCACGACAGGAGCTGGTGAGGGGTTGAAGCTGGCTGCGCAGAAGCTGTCTCCAGGGTCCTCGTTCAGGAAGGACAAAGCGTGTCTGTGCTCTAGCAGCCTCTGGAAGCTTCCCAAAGAGCAAGATGAGGAGACAAAGCGTTTCTGAGGGTGGGGTCGGGGTCTGGGGAGAAGAGCTAGAGAAATTCCCAGACAACACGGGACAAGGTGGGAGGCTAAGCCCGGGCAGGGAGGGCGCTGTCTGCAGGGTGGCGTGGGGTGGGTGGTCGGCACCGCCCGAGGCTGCAGCCTGCGAGGGGCTGGCAAGCTGCAGTGAGGCCCGAGCAGCACGGGGCACAGCAGCGCAGGCCCCAGGCCCCCGGGGCCACCGTGCGCACGGCTCTGCGGACCTCCGGGCGCGCGCGGATGGAGAAGGTAAAACCGACGTTCAAAGCAACCAACACTCTCCCGGGCGCTTTCAGGGCGAGAGAGCAGGTCGGAAGGCCCTGGTTTAGGGAGACCTACGTGCGGCCTGAGGGCCTTTCCCACTTTGAACTTCAGGAATCTGAACAAGACCCTTAAACTGCATAGACTGCCCGGCCGCCTCTGTGAAAGAGGTGGACCGTCTCTGACACGTTGCCAAACTCGAATGTCGCCTGGATCCGGCTCGGCAGCGGGTCGCGCGCAGGGGCCTCTGAGCGCCAGCGGCTGGAGGGCCCAGGCGCGGGGCCCCGGGCGCGCGTCGTTCGTGGGCCCCCCCCCACCCCCCCCCCGGGGCCCCGGGCGCGCGTCGTTCGTGGGCCCCCCCCCACACCCCCCCGACGCTGCCCTCGGGGACCTCCGAGGAGCCCCGAGAGTGGACGCTGACCCTGGGACTTCCGTCTGGAGCGCGACCCGGGGCCGGGGGCCCGCAGGGACCGAAGCGAGCTCGGCGCCAGGCCCGAGGCCGGGTCCAGGTCCCCGGGGAGCGCGGCCCGGGCCGGCGGCAGCAGGCGGGGGCGGGGGCGGGGGCGGGGGCGCGGCGGGCAGCGCGGGGCGGGGTGAGGCTGCGGCGGCGGCGGGGCGCGCGCTCACTCGGAGGCCGGGCGGCCGGCGGCAGGACGCGCTCGCGGGGTCGGGCCGGCCGCGCGCACCATGCCCTCGTTCGACGAGGCGCTGCAGAGGGCCGGCGAGTTCGGGCGCTTCCAGCGGCGCGTCTTCCTGCTGCTGTGCCTGACGGGCGTCACCTTCGCCTTCCTCTTCGTCGGCGTGGTGTTCCTGGGCAGCCGGCCCGAGCGCTACTGGTGCCGCGGGCCGAGCGCCGCCGCGCTGGCCGAGCGCTGCGGCTGGAGCGCCGAGGAGGAGTGGAACCGCACGGCGCCCCCCGCGCGCCGCGGCGACGCGGGCTGCCGGCGCTACCTCCTGGAGGCGGCCAACGGCAGCGCGGCGGCGGGCGCGCTCAGCTGCGCCGACCCGCTCGCCGCCTTCCCCAACCGCTCGGCGCCGCTCGTGCCCTGCCGGGGCGGCTGGCGGTACGTCCAGGCCCACTCCACCATCGTCAGCGAGGTACGGGCCCCGGGGCTCGCTCGGGGGGTGCTGGGGGGGGGGACCCGACGCCGCGGGGCAGCGCGCGGGGCGCAGGCACCTGTTGGTTGCCTTTGGGGACCCGACCGGGTTCGTCCCGCGCTCGGAAGCGCCGCGCCCCGAGCGCCCGGGAAATGCCTTTCGCGTGTTTCCCTGTGCTGGCGAGTGGACTGGGGGGGTGGGGGGGTGGGGGTCGGGGGTCGGTTTCGGGAGGGAACGAAAGCCGGGACGCGTGCGGGGTTCGGAGATGCTTCGCACGCACCGCCTCGGGACCCGAGCGTCCGGGGCGCTGCACGCGGTCGCCCAGATGGGTTTGCGCCGCGGATGGAAACGTTGGGTCGGCTCGCGGTGGAGAAGCGCAGCCCCGCGGGGCGAGCGACTCGCCCGGGTGCCCTGGGGTCGCCCGGGGGTAAAGGACGGGCGAAACGGCCCCGCGTGGCCCAAATGATTCTCTGAAACGCGGGGGCACAAAGGTCAAGGCTTTTCCGGGACGCGGTTTTGGTAAAACCGCTTTTGGGGCAAAGAGCAACATCGGAGAGAAGTTGGGAAAGCTGAGGTTTGAAGGAAGAGTTTTAATTCTACCCCCGCCCCGCCGCCCCCACTAATGAATTACAGGATCTCAGCAGACCTTACAAAGCCGACCCAACCTTCCCGGGGAAGGCTGCTTGGGCCAGGCGGGGGCAGCCCCCACAGTTCCCTGGGTGTGTTTGGGCAGGCAGGCCGTTGGGGGGTCGGTGGCCCCGCAAGCCTGGCTGCACGGCCTTTCCGCCGCCGGGCTGGGAGGGCACTTTTGCCAGCTTTCTTCTTCATCCCTGTGCCTCTGTGGGGCTCTGCCTCCGTGGGGGCCGGGTGGAAGGAAAGAACAGTTGCATTGAACTTCGTCTGCAAGTTCGATGCATTTAATGTCTAAAAAATCGATTGGATGTGCTCAGGCGAATTAGGAAAGAAAATCTTTTGTCTTTATTTACTGTCATAAACATTTTTTAAGCACCCACACGAATAATGGGGAAAACACTAGGCTTAGTGGTAGAAACGCCTCTTCTGTCACTGTTAATGGTATTCTTCGGTCCGGTGATCTCACCTCTCTGGTGTTGGGATTTTAGATCTTTGAGTTTGTGCATATTCTTTTTTTAAAGTTTATTTCTTTAAAAAACTTTTGTTTAACATTTATTTAATTTTGAGACACAGAGACAGACAGAATGCGAGCAGGCGAGGGGCAGAGAGAGGGAGGCACAGAACCCGAAGCAGGCTGCAGGCTCTGAGCTGTCAGCACAGAGCCCGATGTGGGGCTGAAACTCACAAACTGTGAGGTCATGACCTGAGCCCAAGTCAGATGCTTACCTGACTGAGCCGCCCAGGTGCCCCAAAAGTTTATTTCTTTATTTAGAGAGAGAGAGAGAGAGAGAGAGAGAGAACAAGTGAGCGGGAGACAGGCAGAGAAAGAGGGAAGGAGACAGAATCCCAAGCAGGCTCTGCACTGGGAGCCTGAGGTGGGGGCTGGAACTCAGGAACTGTGAGTTCGTGACCTGAGCTGAAATCGAGAGTCCCACACGTAAGCGACTGAGTCCATGCATATTCTGTATAGTGCCACGTGTGTGTGGTCTTGTGTTATGTGCCCCAGAGGTAGCGCTCATGGCAGCCCAGCCAGGCAGGTGTGTGCGCGCGTGTGAGCATGTGTGTGAGCACATATGTGTTCGGGGGACTTTGATTTCTACCTGTTCTATGGGTGATGCTGATGTCTGCTTTATAAACTACAGTGGTCTTGTTAGGGGTCTCATAGTTGAAACGGACAGGCTGTGGACTTGGGTAGGACGGGGCACGATCCCTAGTCCTTCCTTCCTTCTAGCTGCAGCTGTTAGGAGGCTGGTTCTATGCCCTTTAGCGTGGCTGCTCACTGCTTGCTTCCCAGGCAGATCGGAAGACACCATTTGGAGCGAGGACACCTGATTTATGAAGACATTTAAGCCTCAAATGAAGAATAAAAGGAGCCTCTGAAGCTAAATGCACACACTCAGGCAGATTTTCTATGAGCAAACATGACCCCTAGACATGGGAGAAGGGAGATGTAAAAATTTGTGAGTTGGTGCCCAAATACTTTAGAAACATTTTGGGGTTCTGGAGTTGTTCCAAGCCATCTGGGCTTATTTCAAGGAGGGATAGGGGGTCTCATGAAGGTCAGTGGCTCCCAGAAGGCAGCGTGGAAGGTGGAAGGTCAGGAGACACGGCGTGGCACTGTCTGCAGCTAGCTGTGTGGCTCCAGTGAATCACTTAACCTCCCTGGACTTAGCTTTCTCAGTGTAAAATGAGAGGTCAGATGAAGTCCTACAGATGCCACCCGTCAGTGGCATTGCTGCGTGGCTGCTTACTGTGCTCGGAACAATGATAAACATTTCCAAGGAAAAGTAGAATGATAGTCAGCATGCACTCCTTAAGGCCACCAACAAGTCTTTGAAGCATGTTGGAGAGATATATTTTAAAAATCCCAAACCGTTTGCTTCTTCTGGTTTGTTTTTAATGTATTGATTCTTTTTTTTTATTACAAATAGTTTATTGTCAAATTAGTTTCCACATAACACTCAGTGCTCATCCCCACAAGTGCCCTCCTCCATGCCCATCCCTCCTCCCCCCCACATCCATCAGTCCTCAGTTTTTGTCAGCATTCAAGAGTCTCTCATGGTTTGCCTCTCTCCCTTTCCCCCACCATTTCCCCCCTTCTTCTCCCCCTTGTTCCTCCATCAAGTTCCTCCTAATCCTCCTATACGTGCAAACATATGATATTTGTCCTTCTCTGCCTGACTTATTTCGCTAGACTTTAAATTAAAGACAATAACAGATGAAGAAGGGCACTACATAATAATTACAGGGTCCATCCATCAGGAAGAACTAACAATCATAAATGTCTACGCACCGAATATGGGAGCACCTAGATATCTAAAACAATCACGAACATAAGCAAGCTTATAGATAAGAATGTGCTAATAGCAGGGGACTTTAATACTCTGCTTACAGCAATGGATAGGTCAACCAGACAGAAAATCACTAAAGAAATAATGGACTTGAAAGACACATTCGACCAGATGGATCTGACGGATATATTTAGAACTTTACATCCTGAGGCCAGGGAATTTAATGTATTGATTCTTAAGAGGGACCCCCTTCCCCCGCTCACATCCATTCAGGAAGGTCCGCCGTTCAGAGCGACTCATTCTCCCTCAGAGTTCTGCCTGGCTAGTATTTTGCTGCCTTTGGTTTTGAATAGGATCCATTTAGTTTTTGTGTTTCCATATTCTGTTAGGATTCAAGGAACTTAACTTCTATCTTTGGTTAACATGATGTACCCAATGTGTTTCTATAGGTTTAAAGTCTAACGTAATCATGGAGAGAGGGTGAATGGTGAGAGTTTGGAAGGTAGAAGGGCAGAGCAGACTCCAGAATGTCTCCATATGGCTATTCTACTTCATCTTTGCCCCATGGTGAGGAGATATCGTTGTCCTGGCCTTGTAGACGTGGTCCCCAAGGTGGGAGTTGTGGAAGCACCTGCCAGAGTCTCAGACCTTTTAAGTAGCCCAGTTGGGTTCAGATCCAAGGGTCGTGAGTGTGTATCGTGCTCATATCCTCCATGCAGTATTCAAAGTCTTCGGGACAAGTCCATGCAACTCGGACTTGGTGCTTGGAAAGGGTTCCCCTTTCTCCTCATCCTCACCAACCACTCACACTTTAGAAGCTGCAGGAAATCCCGGGAGCACCTTTGTGTTGACTTCATTCCTCCGGCCAGCCTGCCATTGTATTTCATTGCATGGCGGCAGGAACACCAGTCAGTCATACAGCAGACCAGGGGACGGGAACGGCTCTCTCCTCTTGATGGGGACATTGCAGAATGGACATTGGAACCTCACCCACCGTCTTTCCATCTTTCAAAGTGGAATGGCTCCAGGGAGTGAAGTCAGAAGCCAAGGCCAAGTGCAGGGCCATTTAAATCCAGCTCCCTCACTTGCTTCTCTTGCTCAAGGCGAGGCAGTAGATTTCCCACCGACGTAGCTTTCTCGGTGCGGACTTTCTAAGACTGAATCTTGGCCTTGTCTGCTTCTCAGACACTGGCCAGAATTAAGCGTGATATAATGCAGAAAAGTCCGAGTCTCCGCCACCCTCACCCAAATATTTCAATTCATTGCCTACGGACTGCGGCTTTGAAATAGATGTTAGGACTATTAAATGCTTGCTCCATGCCATAAATGGGGAAAAAAAAGAAAGAAGGAAAAAGAGGTTCCCTCTAGGGTCTTACTAGGAACTGGGCTTCAGAGCACCTTTTAAAAATAGTCCGAATCCTGCTTGTTTTTCCTTTCCAGATCATTTTTTCCCCACAAAAAAGGGAAAGTCCATTTGGGGGAAGTAGCTGGAGAGAGTGATGGCTGCTTTGATCTCTGGGGCTTCACATGTCTCTGCTTTGCATCTCGTACGGCTATCCCACGACATAAGGTCAACCCACAGACCTCGGTGACCCCCACATTCTGGCCTCACTCATGGTCGAGCATGGAATTGCGCTGCTGTGGATACCAGAGAAAATCTATCCAGGCGCACATTTAGTCTGGGCTTAGTCTCTGATTTGCTCTGGGTACTCGAGAAAGGTCTTGCTTTTGTGGTGTTTTTATTTCAAATATTATTTGGACCTCCGTTGTTTTTTGCTGTATCAACCTCACCAGGGGGACATCTGTTTTATTATTACTTCAAAGACCCAAATATGTTGCTATTCATTTTTATTTCATTAATTTCTCCTCTTTATTATTTGTCCTTGTTTCCGGGATTTACTTTTGGTATGCTTCTTCCGATTTAAGTTCGATCCATAGCTCAGTTATTTTCAACCTTTCTTCTTTTCTAGTATAAATATGTAAAGCTATAGATTTCCTTCTATGTACTTTTTTGACTCTATCTGACAAGTTTTGAAAGGCTGATTTTAATTATTATTCCGTTCTCCGTATTTGTAA